TTAAAGTAATGGACAGGTTCGAGCTCTAAATATACTTATATAGCGCCTTCTATATTCAGTCCAGCCAATAACGATTGAGTCAATACGCCACATTGGTGCCGTTGTGACCAATTAAATCTATAAATATGCATAATTTTTGGCAATAACTTTAAAAGAAATGTTTTTTTGTAATGATTTCGAGTACTTGTTTGTAAATATTCTTTATAAAACACGTCTAATCGGACGCCGATTATCCGAGTTGTTTACGGAGCTATCATAACTCGTTGCAACTTGCATCATCAATTTATCAATAAACAGCGACCTATTGTTATCGAAATAATGAACAATCTGTTAATGTGACGCATACAAGTGTTTATCCGAACACGAAAATAATCTAAAACATTAAATAGATCAGATAGAACACGGGTCAAAATGCGATGATTTGTGAAGCCATACCTCGGCAGATTTGTACAAATCGTTACCTGATCACGCGCGCTTGCACATTTATATCAAGATACATGATTATGAAGATCTCGTTTGACCTTACCTGTTTGTCTGAAACAGTCCGACACTTTTTCTTATTGGCAAACAAAACCAATGCCAAATTGCTCTTCGGAACACTAGAGTTTCGTTCGGAAAAGTTTATAACTCGGGATTATTCGAGGCATTTTAGTATATAGTAATGTATGCTTCCTGATACCAATCTTTTAAAATATATACGTTAATATAATAATTAATATTTAAATAAATCAACTAAACTTATTAATAATATTTTATATTGGTGTTAATTACACTTGCGGTAGAAAAATACGAAACAGTTTGAGCGCAAAGCTAGTTTTACACAGCTGCCGTTTGCCGGACTCCTAAGAGTTCTACTTGATAACGACAGCTTGACAGAGTGATGTCCCATAAGTACGGGTACGGGAGTAAATAAAATACCCGCGATCACAACAAAGTCAGAATTTCATGTGAAATATGTTGTTTATTTCAACGAAACTTACATAATTATAAACAGTATGGTATTTTCTTCTATATATCTGAAAATAACATGTTAATTTCCCCTAAATTTCTAATTATATGTGAAAAAACCGTGATTTTCACGGTTGACTGCGGCGTACAAGTTTACCCCCTTGAAATACACATTATCGCCGATTTCTAAATTATTGGATTATAAATAAACATTATTTTAACTGTCACATTTAGAAAATAATGTTTGAAATTATTCTATATTTTATAAAAAATATAAACGATCGCGTTAATGAGATATTAAAATATCTTTATATTCCCGGTACGTGGTTTGAGTCCGGGTCCGGGAACGGGGTACAAGACGATCACTGGGCACTCATTTCTTTCAACACATTCAAACTACATTTAAATATCTAGCATGACTTTGTTTAAGTTGAGAACCTGAAACAGTAGTAAAATACCTGTGTTATGGAATCGCCGAAAAGCACTACCTTCGGCCACTGGGTCGACTGTGAAAAAGTCTCCTTTCCTCGAGAAGCCATCGCGCTGACGGCGTAACGCTCCAGTAATTATAACCTCTGACCTCAGGGCCTTAGTCAATTATTTTTTACCCGGGGACTTGTGAGGCTTGCAGAGGGTTAACTTCATACATACATCATGCTTAAGACCTATGTTATAAAACATATTTTTTAACCTATTCTCTATCGATTTGTTGGGGGTAAATCTTGTACGCTGGACCCGAACCAAAAACCCGATCCAGGAAGTAAAGATATTTTAATATCTAACAACTGAATCGTTTATTCATTTTAAAAAGTAAACAATAATATCAGCTATCATTTTGAAACAATCATGTTTCATTGTACCTGTAAGTAAAACCCGTTCGACCCGGGAGGATTTTTCTAGAAAAAAGGTTAGTCCTGTTCAGTATTACTGTACAGTAACATGTCTAAGATAATTATACTCATAGTATAATTTCAAGTTTCTCTAAGTCTCCCTTACTTGGTTAAAAGACTCGTTACATTTGTAAGTGGTCGACCAGATCTGCACTCGCATGCACTTCTTTCGACAAGTCATTTGATCGAGAAACCACGGACTTAGATCTAATTCCATGGTGAAACATGAAAATAGTAAGTTTTTTAATCATAAAAGAAAACATTTCAACTGATATTATTGACTTTAAAATATGTATAAATATATTGAAACAACATTGGATCTTTTGCAATATCGTCGATTAATTCCAAATATCACATTTAGAAAAGAATTTTTGAAATTACTGTAGAATGTAAAATTGATATTTACATATATACATGTATGTAAACGTTCGCGTTGTTGAGGTATTAGAATATCTTTATATTCCCGAGTTTAGTCCAGAACCGGGACCGGCGTACAAGATTCTACGAGAACCTAGCGTTGGTTATATTAACCAATCAAGTAACAGGGAAATATTAACGCCGTAAGAGGTAAACACTTAGAAAGGACCCCAAAACTTAGAAGGATGTTATGCGTTTCCAAGCTGTCCGCACGTAGACTTGTGAATGTCATAAGATCAGAACTACTGCAAAGACAACGATGGTTGTCGGCGACTTCGGGTACAAAAGAAGCGATTTACGACATAGAACATGAGCAGATGAAGGAATCCCTGAAAAAGGTGCGATTTAATTTCTGTCTGATTTTATTTACACATGTAAGGTTAGTCCAAAGTTCAACAGGTTGGGCACATGGGTAATAGTCAGTTTCAGATACACCAACATGTTCGACACTCCACAAGTTAGAACCACTAAGGAGGCAGTACCCAAATCGGATAACTTTTTGCAAAAATACTTATAAATTAATAAATGTGTCAACAAATCAGTTAATATGAAATAGGCACTGCCTATAAGCGAGCGCACATACATGTACTGTAGTTCAGTAACCTTTGTTATGAAAGTGTAGATCTCGGGCGCCCCAGCAAAGAATTTTAGGGTAACAAAACGAACAGAATTCCTCCTTAAGACATACGTGCGCTGAATATTCTTCCATAAAAAAGAAATGAATGGTAGTTTAAAAAAATGTATTTTAATTAAGAAAACCTGTCAGATATACCATGTAGGCCTTTTTGTTGTTGCTTATTTACTATTATTTTAACACCCTTGTAAATATATTGCCTGATTCTACTGTGCATAGAAAATATTAATTAACAAGGCAAAGTATTGGAAGGCAATCCATGGAGCCCCATCGCCACCGGTAAGAATTTCTATACACAAACAGTACACTTATGTCAGGAAGCATATAGGTCACAGTGAGGTCATACTGACCTACTTCACCCCGCCATCCCAAGATGTCCTTGTTCACCAAATCTGGTTACTCCAGGTGAAAAAGCATATGCCACGTACAAATATTTTCAAAAGTAAAGGTCAAAGGTCAGGTCAACCGTCACAATGACTTAAATCTTGCACTATTCACTCCACCATCGAAAGATGTCCTTGTACTCCAGGTGAAATAGTAAAGAATATATGGCCCAGTCCAACTTTTTCAAAAGTTAAGGTCAAATGTCAAATCATATAGGACACAGTGGCTCATTCCCCGAACACCAACTTTGGAGAATTGAAAGGAAAGTGTTTATATAGGAAATCCTTTGAAGTTTAGTTATAGCCTGTTTCAACTAAGAATGTCAACTCATGTAGATACGATACTCAAGTCAATAATAAAATGTATAAACAGTTTTTATTTCCTACATATAACTGTAATACACATTTAACACGGAACTAAGTTATAGAAAATAATCTTTAAATATTATTTTTTACATTATATTAAAAAAAACCACCATTACATTATATGAAAAACAAAATTCCTTAATTTAAGCCACATTGATACTAATGTCAGCAATAAACTAGAGTTTCTATTCCTACATATAACAGTAATACACATTCAATACAGCACTAAAAGATAGCCATTATTAAACATAAATATAAACAGTAAACCTTTCTGGAGCTAAAGTAGATGAAGAATTTTGCATGAAACATGATGATTTTAGTTGGAATGGATTTTTGGAATTCAGAAGTTTTGCCAAAAAGTATAATATCTTCCTTTAATTCCAATGTTTGGCCAGTTTTTAAGTATATCCATCTATGTATGTCTTGACAGAAGTTATTTGACACCGTTACAAAAGATGTTCTATAGTTTGTTTGCTTTCTTGGCATAAATTACATAAATCACATTGTTTGATTCCAATTATTTTCAAATAATGATTAAGTGGAAGTATCCTTGAAAGAAGCCTGAAAGTGACCCATTGAATGCTAGTTTTAAGTCCATATATAAAGTTTTCTAAATCAATCATTTTGAGTCCACCCTCACTATAGTCTTGAACAATTGTTGACATTTTTATTATATCAACTGGTGATTGCCAGACAATTTTTTTTTCTTCAATGATTGAATTATGTCTTTACTTGGAGTAGGGAGAGATGTGATTCATTTTTGCGATGATAAGAGACTTAAGAACAGTTATTCTCCTTATAGGTGTTAAAATTTGTTTTGACCATTGATGTAACTTGCCATCTATAATACTAAAATAATTTTGTTGAAATTTACAGTAACCATGTCTTCTAAATTGACAGAGAAATCAATCCCAAGTAAGGTAAATTTGGTTGTTCCCCATTTTAGTATTTTCAGTATTTACTTTTAACCCCGATATTTTAGCATATTTATATCATATAAAGATTGTGTGCCATTTAAAATAACAGATGTGTCATCAGCGAACTGTGAGAGCCCGTGTTCTTTGTTATTTATGTTCATGCCCTAAAGTTTTTATTGTTTTGTTTTTACCATGATAGCTAATATTTCAACTACCAAAAGAAATAAGTAAGATGATACCGGATCCCCTTGTCTTCAAACCCTTTTTTTATGTCTACAAAGTTGGGTTAAAAAAACATTCTGTATGATAGCCGAGGAAGTATTTGTATTAAAACATAACAGATAATCATATCAAACTGAAGTCACACAAGTTAAACACAATTCATAGAAATCTGAAAATAAGTACAAGTTTAACTAATATTTGACAATAATTATAAGAGATTTCACACAAATCTGAAAATACAAGTTTAACTAATACATGTATATCATAATAAGTATGTATGACTGATTCTGAAAACTGTTCTAAATATTAATTATTATTTTGCAACTATAAGCAGTTATTGATCTGATTAGAAGTTTATTTACCTGTGTAATTTACCTGTACACCATTTCTGCGATAGACTATAACTCGCTATCATCACAACTGGCGACCTATGTAAACATGTGACTTTAAGCAGAGTTAGTGTTCGGGGAAGACCCCGACACAGTGAGGTCAGTGAGATCAGTTCATGAAAATCTACATGTTTGCCTAAATTGCCAAGCCCAATGCCCCAGGCTAGTTAAAAATGTCAATGTTTATTTTGAAACGTAAGTTGGGCTTGTATTTGTTTTTTCGAAACAACCTTCCAACTATTGTTCACTAATTATGTTGTGTATCACGGCCTTGTATGACTGGTACATAATAGTAGCATGATTGTATTTCTGGGTGGTACCAGACCTACCTACTGGTAGTTGTCTATGGATTGCCAGTAGGTGTTTTTCATTATAGGACACTGATTTCAACCATTTCAATGTTATAAGGTCACCATGCTGGAGTGACAGAACCCTAGGAGCAATCACAGTTAGTACGAGTCTATACTCTTTTCATAACCTGCAAAGAGTATGGTAATTTTGAAGTACACACAGACAAACAATAAAGAACTGATGATGTTACAACATCTCTCATTTACAAGCTTTACCTGGTCAATAGGTCACATTCAAACAAAATAAAATTAGCTCAAAGATGATTCTAAATCAGTATTAATTATATATAATTATGGTTCCTATTTTGTAGCTCTAAACCATCATTCAATTTCTCAATATTCCAATATATTGGAGAAGCTGGCTGCAATATCCATTCCTTTTGAAAATTTACCTTGTAATGTAAGAAAGCATTATATCGTGATTCACTGAACATATTTTGAACCTAAAGCATACAACACAGAAATGATACTTATACAACAGTGATCTTATGTTATACATGTACCAGAGATACATGGACCTGAGTTGCAATGCAGTTATGTTATTTGTTGTAGTGATGTGAAAATCAAACAAAAACAGAACAAAAGTTCATTTAATCCAAAAAAGTTTTTTTTTAATTCCTTGAGAGAAATTCATGTTGGGAGTGACCAACATATATTATTGATATATCATTTTTGGCAGGTACATAATTGTCTGACATACAGTATATATTGCTGACAATTTTCAGAAAAAATGATAAACATGTAGTGGAGGAATGAACGACACAGGAGTAATGAAATAACAATTTCAGATATAGCGACTTAGGACCTTTCCATCCATGAAGAGTGTTTGATTCTAGCATATCTGGATCTTAAGAAGAAGATTGTTGAAATTTCAGCCAATTTGCCCTCTTTGGCCCCTCCCTACAGGCCCTAGGGATGGGTCAGGTTCTTAATTTTCATAGCATCAAAATTCAGTCACATGATAGCTATATAGTCATTCCAACCAACTTTGAATTTGTACCCAAAAGTGTTATTTCCCCATATAAACTACAGTAAGACCAAAAACAAGATTTACATATGCTTCGGATAATCTGATCATGACCTACATGTACCTAACCTTAAATTTTTCCTGTGGACCATAGGGAACATTTTATCACCTACTTTGTATCCATGAAGATCATTTCACTGTTATGGTCATGGGATCCTGACCACATTCTTGACAGAATAATAACAATTGAAATGCATAGAAATTCATTTTTCTTACATTTTTTAATAGAGCAACGAAGGGTGTTATCGACAGGGGGGTATTATCGACCCCCGGTTCTATTCATCTCGTTTTGGATCGATCACGAACCGTTTTTCAGACACTCAGTGTTTTTGATGATAGGTACTTACTTTTACCGGAATCCCTCGGAACCGTTCCATTCAGACAACACCGGTTAAACAAATTTTCTGAACTTTTTTTTTCCAAAGAGAAGAATCGATCCTGTTTTTAAACCTCCCTTACGGGCCCCGATAAGACATGTTTGGCACTTCGAATTTTGATAACATTTTTTTCTGAAATATTTGTCACATAATGGTGTAATCCAACTTCACTCATGAAGCGTCTGCAACATTTGTCAGGGTATTATCTACATCAGGGATATTGTTAAGGTCGGAAATAGGGTTGTCGATAACAGCCGCAATTTGAGGATCGGAGGTAGTTATCGACAGTATGTAAAAAAAAATACCAATTAATTTTTGTTTTATCCATTAAAAGCATATTTTTATGAATGACTTGTACTTCAAAGTTGCCTGTATGATTTCAATATATATATATCGTGAATTGTGAAAGGTGAGAACAAGTGCCCGACAACAATAGTATGCTAAAGTCTATCCAGTAAACAGACATAACTTTACAAGCATAACTAAAATACTAAAAAATCCAAATTTCTCAATAAAATCCATGTAGATAAGTCTTGTAAATATGCTCAATATAAACTGCAATTACAAATTATGAAAAATATCAATATTTGAAGACACTGCAGTCATATATAGACAGAATATAATATATATTCAAAAGTAATCAATTACATAGATCAAATGTTGATGAAAATTGTTCTGTTAGGCAGGAGGTATATAACTAATTATCTTGTGAACATTAAGAACCTAAAAACATTTCCACAATGATTAATTCAAGAAGATTCAATTATGTTTTCCTGAATTAAATTTCTGATCTCTACCATTGTAGGATAAATGTATCATGATTCAAAATTTTTGGGCTGTTGGAATGCATCACTGGGGATCAAAATAATATGAAATTGGGGTGGGACGGAATCAGAAAATGTGTTTGATCAAAATGCTGTGATGGTGACTGTTTGCGCATGCGTGCAGAAAAGGGAGCGTGTTTGTTTACATTTATGACTTAACATACCACTTGACATGTTCATACCTTTTTTAAGCAATTGGACACACGTCAGAACAAATGAATGTATTATGAGAGATTATTAATAGAAATAATTAACATTTTAATTTAGCTGTCGATAACTACCTCCACCTGTCGATAACTACCCCTGTCATTAATGCCACCAAAACAATGATTTCTCCCGCGATTCGTCACATGTACGTTTATTGCAGATGATGAAATAGAGTACGTTTCCCGACTTCTTCGAAATGCCATCATAAAATAACTTACGCAAAACGGTAAACTGGCAAAACGAATTTGAAGCTTAGACTGTCGATAACTGCCTCCATTGCTCTACCCTGTAAGTATATATATTGATCCATATTTTATTTAAAAAAAATAAAAAATTGCCTACTTACTGACCAACCCTATTTTTCTCTGGAATGTTGCCTGAAAAACATTTGTTTTGTTTTAGCCTAAATATTAACCCTTTCTCAATGATTCAGAGGTAGCAAAATATTCATACATTTGAAATAGGCCTACAGGACATTTCTGTCTATGAAGAGTTTATGATTTTAGCATCTCTGTGCCTGAATAAGAAGATTGTTAAAAATTTAGTCAATTTGACCTCAAACTCCTGGCAGATTAGATCCACGTGTAATTCATAAATTTGACTTGCATTTGACCATGGAACTTTCCTTCAAAAATTAACTGAAGTGGTTACTATGACGGACATAGGGCATTCACAAGAGGTCAACACCAAGACTTTGATAGCTAAATAAAATAAGTTTTCTGGGTTAAGGTGCAGTGGGTCCATCCTTCTCAAATTTAGCGCCACTGCGCAGGAAGCTGCGCATGTTGGCTAAATTTCAGTATGATTTATGTAACCTAACGACACCACGCTTGGATTTAAAAACTGTTATCGACAATTATTAACAGCAATTAAGAACGTCAAAAAAAAAAATGGAAACTATCCAGTCCGACCATCTTTTATATTTAAATAATCGTATTTAATGTGATATTGAACTCTCGTAAATAAGAACGAAAGTCGTTTAGACCGGAAGTTTACTATCGCAGCTGATGACAGCGATATGACAGCTGCTGAGGATGAAGTCTGAAAGTGAAAGAATATGTGCTTTCCGTTGTTATTGCTCACTTATCTACATGTTGAATAGAACAAACGATAATCAGAGTTTATCATCACTTGAAGGGAATAGGTCATTTCGGACGATGGAAGAATGATGACCGTTACCCATCACACTGACTGCGACACTTCTCTACTCTACTGAACAGCTGATCATGAAGGTCTCGACGTTGAACGTTTCATTCGAAGCATTACGGCAATTCAGTCTTGACTGTTGACAGAGATTTTGTTCAGAAACAAATGGCAGTGTAAACAGCTTGAAGTGATCGTCTGAAAACTGCAACTGAAAACAAATGTTTTGAGTCATCGTCAATGACCCCAAGGACCCATACCGAACCGACACGAGTAGACGAGTTTCAACAATGAGGTAATAATAATAATAATAATAATATTTATATTTATATTTATTTTTATTTATTCGGTAAAAGCAAGATACAGGTACAAATATCACATATGATCACAGATTTCAATAGCATAATAATCACAGATTTATCACAGTATTTAGCTTATCACATCAAAGTTAATATCACAAATTTTGGAGCACTATAATTACAATGTATCTGTTTGACTAAGCTTTAACCTAGGATATCCCATGAAAGCTGGGTGGCAGCTTATTTCCAATGGGGTCCTCTAGTATAGATCTTAATTACTTAGATAACAAAAGGTCCTAAGGATTTGACCTTATAATATGAATATAAGATGGTATAATTTCTCGTAATAATATATATATGAATAGAATAAGTTGTAATTGGTCAAATATGATGATGATATATTATTTCATCAAAATAAGATGTTATTTTATTTGACGGTATAAGATGGAGTTGTCATTAGCAAATATGATTTCCTTCTGATAATATATATAT